TTATTATAATTACTTTTGCCATTATTATTATTATTATGATTATCATTATTACCATTATTATTATCATCATTATTCTTATTATTATTATGATTATCATTATTACCATTATTATTATCATCATTATTATTATTATAATTATTATTGTCATTATTTCTATCATTATCATTCTCATTATTATCATCATTGTTATTATTATTATAATTACTATTGTCATTATTATTATCATTATTAAGATCATTAATTATTATCATCATCATTAACTATCATTAGCATAATCATTATTTATTCCATCATTACTAAAATCCAATCACAAACAAACAAAAGAATTTCCAAGAAGATCCACCTCCCCCACCCACCCCTTTCCCATCACCCCCCCCTTCCCCTCTCTCCTTCCCAGAATCTACGGATCCTCCCTTCCCCTATCCCTTCTTCTCCTCTCCCCTATTCCTCCTCCCCTCCCCCTTCCTCCCCCTCCCTCCCCCCTCCTCCCCACCCCTTCTTGCAATATCCTCCTCGTCCTTCCCTCCCCCCCTTTCCCACTCCTCTCCTCCACTTCCCCTCTCCCTTCTCTATCCTCGTCTTCCTCCTCCCCCTCACCTTTCCCCCCCTTCCCCTCCCCTCCCTTCCTCCTCCTCTTCTCCCTTCCCAAGTCACGCCATCGCCAATATCCTCCTCCCCCTTTCCTCCTCCTCCCCCTTCCTCCTCCCCTCCCCCTTCCTCCTCCCTCCCCCTTCCCCTTCCCTCTCCTCCACCTCCCACTCCCAACCCTCTTGCCAATATCCTCCTCGTCCTTCCTCCTCACCCTCCTCTCCCCCTCCCTCCCCCTTCCCCCTTCCTCCTCCTCCCCCTTCCCCTTCCCCTCCCCTCCTCCCCCCCCTTGCCAATATCCTCCTCGTTCTTCGCATCCAAGAACCCTTTTCCCGAGCGACCATTAGTCACCATTAAGAGAAAAGCCACCGTGTTCTTGAAGCACTGGGTCTCGCTTCCACGTCTCCCTTCCACGCCCTGACGCCAAAACAATCGAGGTGTGTCTGCGTCGCCCTGGTGTGTGTGCGTGTGTGTGGGGGGGAGGGGGGGGAGATTGCTGGTGAGATTTCTTACGCTGGAAGGAAGTTGGTGATAATGGTCTGATAGGCGATTTTTTTTTTTTTTTTTTTGGGGGGGGGGGGGGCTGGTTGGTTAGATCTTTCTCGAATTTGTTGTCTGTTTCTTCTCCTTTTGTTATCTTAAGGTTTCTTTTGTAAAAGTTGTTTTTTTCGAACTTTTTCGGAGAGATCCGATTGTTGTTTTTGTTTTTTGTTTGTTGTGTTTCTTATTCTTTGGAAACTTTTTTTTTTTTTTTTTTTTTTTTCAATTGTATATATATCAGTATAGAGTCGCTTCCAATTCACGAAACGTTTACTATTTTACTTTTAACTGAAACATCTCATTACGAGAGCAAAAGGCTTAACATTACGTAAAAAATTGCACCTTTGCGTCTGTGAATATGCGTAAATGTATGTGTATCTTTTTTTACGTCAAGTTTAATTTGTCGCCTTTGATGTCTAAATTCATGTCTATCAATTTTACATGTAATTATACCTACAATTCATTTATTATTCACACCAAATAATAAAATAATAAGTTTAAGATCTACATTCTTGTAGAAAGGTATGAATGAGAATGAATATCTTCACAATACAAGAGATGTATTTGACCGGCTTTGAATTTATCTTCTTCAGGAATATATATGTATTTCTGACGAAGATGTATTCGAAAGCGGTCAAATACATCTCTTGTATTGTGAAGATATTCGTTCTCATTCATACCTTTCTACATTTGTCAACATGAATACGGTTCATCTATATTCTTATGTCTAAGATGAATGTTATGTCAGCTGGTTTTCTGTATTTGCATTCCATGTGGTGACTCTCCACACTTTTTTATGGAGTCCGATTCCATCAATCACTGACATAATGCATTCGGGTGACTATTTTTCTCCAAAATGTATCGACTTTTCTCAGGAGAAATTTTTCACTTCTTCTTATTTTGTGGACTTATTTAATTTGGCCTTCGGAGAGATATTCTAATATTTTATTTGGTATTTTTTTGTTTTTCTTTTCGTGGTTCTTATTCTTAGTAACATTGAATGGCAGTAGGAACGTGTCTTGGGGAGAGAGAGAGAGAGAAAAGAAAGTAGAGAAAGAGAGAGAAAAGAAAAACAAGAGAGAGAGCGAGGGAGGGAAGGAGAGAGAGAGAGAGAGAGAGAGAGAGAGAGAGAGAGAGAGAGAGAGAGAGAGAGAGAGAGAGAGAGAGAGAGAGAGAGAGAGAGAGAGAGACGAGAAACATAGAGGGAGAGAGAAAGAGAAGCAGAGACACAAGAGACAGAGAGGTAGTAATAATAACAAAAAAAAAAATCCTACTTCACACCAGGATGCTCTAAAGCCCCAAATATGCTTGAGCTTCCCATCCGGTTTATGAATGCAAACGAGATTCAGCTTCTCCTTCGAAACTCCAAACTCCTTCGCCGCCTTTGTATCCGGGCGTCAGAGCCATCAACACCCAATGCTAAAAACGCCCCTTGTCACTGCCATCAAGCCGGGCGCTGCTGCCATGACTCCCATTCTTCGGCTGCAATCCCTTACGGCTTATTCTTTTTATTACGACTTTCAAAAAAAAAAAAAAAAAAAAAAAAAATCGCCAAAAAAAAAAAAAAAAATCTCGCCACAAAAAAAAAAAAAAATCTCGCCAAAAAAATAAAAATAAAAAAAAAAATCCCACACAGACTTGTCTTTCATTCATAAGTATTTGTGTTTTTCTTCTTTCTTTCTTTCTTTTTTGTGCGTGTTACGACCGAGTGGGAAAAAAGTTATTCCAGTAGTCTTTCCACACGTCGCCGGGATACGAGTGTAAAAAAGGTTTTTTTCTCGACAAACGATAACACAGGAACGTGACTCCATTATATTCGTTTATTCTTCTTTGGACAAACGAATGGAATGAAAGGCAGAAGACTCGTTAGGCGCGCAAGGAATGAAGTAAATGAATAAAAAAAAATAATAATATAATGATAAATAAAATATATATAAGCGTATGATGAACGAAAGAAATGGATGTAAATGAAAAGGAGAGGAGAGAGATGAGAGAGAGAGAGAGAGAGAGAGAGAGAGAGAGAGAGAGAGAGAGAGAAAGAAGAGAGAGAAAGAGAGAGAGAGAGAGGAGAGAGAGAAGAGAGAGAGGAGAGAGAGAGAGAGAGAGAGAAGAGAGAGAGAGAGAGAGAGAGAGAGAGAGAGAGAGAGAGAGAGAGAGAAGAGAGAGAGAGAGAGAAAGAGAGAGAGAGAAAGAGGAGAGAGAGAGAGAGAGAGAGAGAGAGAGAGAGAAGAGAAGTGAGAGAGAGAGAGAGAGAGAGAGAAGAAAGAAAGTGAGAGAGAAAGAGAAAAAAGAAAAACAAGAGGGAAAGTGAGAAGAAAGAAAGGAATAGAAAGAGAAAAAAGAAAAGAAAAAAGAATAAAGAAAGAGCGTGAGAGAGAAAGAAAAAAAGAAATAGAGACACATCGAGAAAGAAGATAAGAGAACCAGTCCAATGGGAAAAAAATAGAAGAGGTAGGAACAAGGGAGACGAATAGAAAAAAATATATGAAAGCGAAACTTCCACGTCACATATATATCTTTCTCTCCTAAGTCAGTGTCATGCGAAGGTGATAAGAAAACGAGAGAAATCCTGAAAAATATGATGGTTTTACGCATGAAGAAGTGAGGGAAAAAGAAGAAAAATAATCATAATCAAAAGAATTAGATAGAGAAACGAAAATTCATCATTGCTGATAGATTTAGGGATAAGAAGAAAAAGTGAAACAACGAAGAAGACGACGAAGAATATGAAACGAAAAAATGGCAAAAAAAATTAAGAAACAAACAACAACAACAAATCAAATCGCATTAAAAAAAATCTATCATACTCGAAAGCCAAACGAACGAGAGAGAGAAAAACAAAGAATAGGAGACACATAAGAAACAAGAGAGAAAGAAAGACCTCATAAATCTCAACATCAAAATAAGAAAAAACAAAGAAGACCCAAATTCAAAGATTTCTCCAAACAATCAAAACCCAAAGATTTCCCTTCCTTCTTTCTTAAATCTCAAAATCCCATTCATCAAAAAAGAGGAAAAATAATAAAAATAACCACTACATCATCACAACCAAATGCACATTGAGGTCGCCCGGTCGTAGCTCCCACAACCTCTTTCCTTCGAGGACTTTCACAAGCATAGGCAACCCCAGCACGCACCTGAGGGAGGAACAGACGAGATGCTAAAGAGAGGGTCTGCCGGAATAGGAGAAGAGGGAGTGGGGGGGACGAGGGGAGGAATTATTATTCCTGCGCGGCGCGAGCCGATGCTGTCTGTCTGGATTTGGTGTGAGAGGATGGTTAGAGAGGAGGTGAAGGGATGGATAGTGGGAGGGAAGGAGAAGAAGGAGAGGGAGAGGGAGAGAGAGAGAGAGAGAGAGAGAGAGAGAGAGAGAGAGAGAGAGAGAGAGAGAGAGAGAGAGAGAGAGAGAGAGAGAGAGAGAGAGAGAGGGAGGGAGGGAGAGGAGAGACAGGCAGAAAGAGAGAGAGAGAGAGAGATAATGGCGATAGGGGTGAAGGGATAATGATGAACAAGGGGTATTGAAAGGAAAGAATTCAGCAGAGAGAATGGGTTGTAGGGACAAAAGAAGGGTAGAGAGAGAGAAGGGTGAATGAGTGTGAGAAGAATGAGGGCCAAAAAAAAAACAACAACAGAAGAGTGAGAAAGAAGGAATCGAAAACAAGTGACGGGCAGAAGTTCTAGAAGGTGGGCGGAGGGCAATAAACGAATGGACGAAGCAAAAGAAAAGAAAAGAAGAGGAAAAGGGAAAGGGAGAACGACACAGCCCTGGTAGAGGAAGGGCGAGAGAAATTAATCAAAGGAGGAAACGTGTGCAAAATATACAAAGTTAGAGAGAGGAGAGAGAAGAGAGAGAGAGAGAGAGAGAGAGAGAG